TTTCCGATAGTTAGGTATTATCACACTTTATCCCTATTATCACCTTTTGATTTTTAGGAAAAAATTCAACTAGGTATATTTTCATGTTTTTTTTTAAATTTCTCTAGAACGGTATGGAAATTTTGAAAAAGCAAATTTTTTTTATGAAGAATACATTTTTCTCAAAATCTCAGTAATAAAAAAGTTTTTCTTGTTGTAAAGACAATCCGGGGACATATTGTATATTAGACCCGAGTGCTTTATAACAAAATTGTTAGTCCAAAATTATTTATAATTCCTATGAAATCAATAGATTTTTTTTAGTGTATACACCATTTTCCTTATTAACGCGTATCATAAATTAGGAAGCCACAAACAAAAAACAAATTTGGAAAGTAGATTAAAAAAAATATTGAATTTTCTATATTACTTGTTTAATTAGGTATTTTTGCTGAGGCAGTAAAATATTTAGGGTCATATTTTGCTTGACCTGCTTTACCCGGCAAGCCTACTACAGTTTAAAATAGTTCATAACTTGGGATTTTTAATGACATAAAAATAGAGGGTATTGAACTATGTACCTACAATAATATCAATAGCGAACAATAATTTAAAAGTAATTTATTATTAAGCAACAGGTATATAGAATGGACGTATTTATTTATAAATGTGTCAATTAAAAAGAAAATCAATACAGATTATGCTCGGAAATAATACCCTCCTACTATCTACTACCATTGAAATATTTATAAATAGAAATGGCAATTGAAATTAACAGAATGATAAACCGCTGTATTTCGGTTTTTTTTGTTACATGAAAAAAAAACGGTAAGGAAAATCCGAAATAGGCTAATGAAACACTTCTCTTATTCGAGTTGTAATATACTATTCCCAAATATATTATAAAAATATATTGCTAGTACCTAGTACCGCATTTACACAATAAGTGGAAAGTGAAGCCACAGAAAAGAAATAGGAATATCAATCTTGCATAAGTCTATCCTTTTCGTTCAATGGGATTTTCGTGCGCACGCACCAAATAAAGGAATCTGATTCGTCTGCTTCAACGCTGAACGCTGTCACCTGCACGCGCACTATTTTAAACTCTAAATATTAATAACGTATAATATATTATTTTTTATTGGTATTGGCATTATTTCAACCTGTTATTTTAGATATTCATCATATCTATCCGTTTCTTGTTTTTGTTTAAATATGTCAGAGATTAAATTTAAATTTATAAGTAAAGGCGCGAATAGTCAGACGCTAAATTGATTTACGTTGCTAGATAGAAACTTACAAAACTACTTCTATTGGTTAGTATAAAATAAATCAAGTAATCGCGAAGCACTTCTCACGCTTGCGTAGTTCAAAGCTGTTGAACGAAAAGGACCGACTTATGTGGATTTTGTATAGCTCCATCTCAAAAATTTGGCTTCAATTTCTGTTCCTGACTAGCGATATAGTGTAATATATATGACTATTCCCTATGTTCTTAGTTCCGATATAAATTTAATAAACATAGATTTCGTCGACATATTGCTTTAAAAAACGTGCCCTGTACTCGTATACTCATTGTAATATCTATTTCACAGGTACTTAACATAATTTGTATGGTGTATAAAGGTAAAATAATCAAACCCATAAAGTATTAGTTACAGGATGGCCTGTCTAACCACATTACTTCCGGTAAATAACTCTGAACATATTGAACGTATACATCATATATTTAGACATACATTGAAATTATTTATTTCATTACAGAAATTTTGTAAAATATACTAGTACAAAAAAGTATTAATTACATGATTTTTTTGTCTGCTTTTATTTCCTGTTGAATAAAATTGATGTTTAATAACATTAACATACTGTTGTGTGCTATATTGAATGTTCTATTTTTAAGTATATGTCTGTCAGCTACAAGTAATAAATAAAACCATATTAAAGAATTTTAATTTATCGTTTTTTTTTCAAATTCTGGCGCCTCCTATTTTTAGGCTTAGGAACTCCAGGCTGTAGGAAATAAATATCTATTATTAAATTTGTAGGTAAAGAAGATGATTCACCTTAATACCAAAGTCTATACATTACAAAGTTTATATATTGTTAACCCTTTATATGGCAGTACTAATTATTTTCTAGTTTGATCAAATTGTTTTCAAAAATATACAAACTAGCACAAAGAGAGCATATCTTCTTAATAACATTATTTTTCAAAAAGTTAAATAAGGGAGTGAGGGGTGGAGACTGTTAAAGCAAATAGATAATATTATGTAATGACCTAACGTATATAATGTAAAAACTGTATGTATCATCCAATGTAAGAAAAAAGAGTAAGTTTATTTTGATTATCTCTGTTAGCTAAAATTCGTAATATATCTAGAAATGCATTTACCCACTAGTAGTTATATAAATAATTTTTGGTAAACTCTGTCTCTAATAGTTTCTGAAAAATAAAATAATTTTTTTAAATAAAGTCCGATTAAATGTATATCTCCGAAAGTAAAGTTCCGAAAAAATTCGTAATATATCTAGAAATTCATTTACCCGCTAGTAGTTATAAAAAGCATTTTTGGTAAACTCTGTCTCTAATAGTTTCTGAAAAATAAAATTATTTTTTTTAAAAATGTCCGATTAAATGAATATCTCCGAAACTAAAGTTCCAAAAAAATTCGTAATATATCTAGAAATTCATTTACCCACTAGTAGTTATAAAAAGCATTTTTGGTAAACTCTGTCTCTAATAGTTTCTGAAAAATAAAATTAATTTTTTTAAAAATGTCCGATTAAATGAATATCTCCGAAACTAAAGTTCCAAAAAAATTCGTAATATATCTAGAAATTCATTTACCCACTAGTAGTTATAAAAAGCATTTTTGGTAAACTCTGTCTCTAATAGTTTCTGAAAAATAAAATTAATTTTTTTAAAAATGTCCGATTAAATGAATAACTCCGAAACTAAAGTTCCAAAAAAATTCGTAATATATCTAGAAATTTATTTACCCACTAGTAGTTAAAAAAAGCATTTTTGGTAAACTCTGTCTCTAATAGTTTCTGAAAAATAAAATTATTTTTTTTAAAAATGTCCGATTAAATGAATAACTCCGAAACTAAAGTTAAATAAAAGTCAAAGTTCAAAGTAAAATAACTCCGTTATTTTGGACTTATTTGAAAAACGATATGTAATACTAGGCTGAAACTAGGACTTATTTGAAAAACGATATGTAACACTGTATATATATATAACACTAGGCAAAAATGAGGTCTCAAGTATATGTTGATATTTTTGGACGTTAACAGCTAGTGCCATCTATAAAATTTAATTTGCCCAAACCTCTTGCTGACCCCTTAGGAAATTTAACAACCCTCTTTAAGCAATCTTTATGAAAGGATTCTGCTTTATTTCGTATTATTCCTTTTCGATGATCTCCAACGCAAACATCAAATTTAGACTCATCGCTAAATATGACCTTATTGCAATCATTTTGTGTCCACGATAATTTAGATTTTGCCCAATTGTAGCGATTTTTCTTCTGAATTTCTGTCGAAATTTTTCGAATTGTTTTTCCCGTACTGTATTGACGAATGATAATTTCTCGTAGTTTTTGATTTGTAGCTTTTCCACGGACCATTACTTTGAATTAAATTAACAAAATCGAAAATTAAAAAAATTAAAATTACTTACAGTAAATCTCACTACTCAAAGTATCGAGTCACTTACAAGCTGTCAATGCTGAAGGCTGAAGTAAACAGTTTGCGACATTTGTGACGTTTATAGCAAAGCCGCCTATGATGATATTAATTATTTAAAAATACTTGTCCCAACATTTAGCTGTCAGTAAATTTGTCCTTTTATAAACAAAATCCGCTACTGTAAATATGGATTGATTTAAAATTCATAAAAATATTGTCAAGTTGTTTAGGATATATGGCTATGTTTATATTTAAAAAATTAAACATATATTTTTCAGTTATTTTGGAAAACCAGGGCAATAATTCCAAAATATGACCTTGTCCCAACATATAGGTGTTAGGGCTCGTAGAAAGCTTGTAAAGAAATAGCAAGGAAGAACGCAATTTTTCGCCCTCCAGGGATTGAATTTTCCACCTGGTTAAAAATTGTTTCAGATTTTTACCTTAAATAAAATAGATACAATCAGCTTCAAAGAAAAGATACCTATTTTAGAAATATTGTTAGGTTTTAGAATTAATAAATAATTTTCAATAATATATCTTTCAATGAAGAAAGATATTAAAGATAAGAGATTATACTATATCCGTATTGAAAAACATTTTTAGACAACTTCATTTTTAAGATTTCAGCAAAAACATTCCTTATGTTTGGACTAAATTTTCTCGAAAATAAAGACATAATTTAAAATTCCGTTACAATATGGAAGTAGATTGAAGTTTTGTGGTTACAGTGATATATAATTTATGTGGTTTTGTAACAAACTGCTCACTATTTTATGGCAAATGCTGAAGCTCTGCAAACCTTAATCAAGCCTTAATCAAAGCACGTGAGTTTGGAATTTTGGGTGTGGCTTAACACGACACGGTCGGGCTAAGTTTTAGGCAGATTGCTGAAATATAATATATATTTCCTTCGGCCACACACCTGCTTTACCCGACCCCTTGGAGCGACCCAAAAGTACATAGCATAGTAGTGAAACTTTCTGATAAAAAAATTCTAAATTAGAATAACCGCATTGCATAAAAAGAAATTTAGATAAACAATATACTTAAAATATATTTTTACGTGTTGTCAAACCTTGTAGAACTAGTTCTATATATAATTTACCCTACTTTTTACAACATAGTAAATGGGAACATATATTTTTCAGTAAATATACACGATCAGTAACGTAAATTTATCATCATACATATTACAACATTAAATGGTGCGAAGGAAAATAAAAAAGAGTGGTAGAGATAAATTTGAACGACTTTCACACAGCGTGGCAACAACAGATGACAAATTCGATTGAGTATCATGTTTTTGACGCAGATTTTTGTTTCAGAAGAGGAGTGGAATTCTGACGGGAAATCCGGTAGAGGGAGCGACGGTAGTAAGTATATATAAAAAGGAAATTTTTAGATAGCAGTAAAATATTACCATGTCCTAATTAAAATGGTACAAATTTTTAAAGAAACTTCTGATTACTGAGAATAACTCAAAGGTGCTTCTTTCAATATACTTATAGAAACTGTGTTAACTGAAATCGATATAGATATCGTAGACCTTATAGACCTAGCGTCCTTACTTTAGTTTTAACCCATCTTACAGTCCCAGTGGTTTGACAAAAGCTAATATCAGAGACGATTTTACAGAGGTTCGGCCACACACCCGCTTTACCCAACCCCTGAGAGCGACCTGAACAGTAAAGGTACATTCAGGCTGAGAGCGTCCAGCGTCGCGTCGCGTTTGCGTCGCGTCCACCCCATTGAACTCGAACCCCGACGCTCAGCGGACGCTAGCGCAACGCCAAACGCGACGCTGTCTGCCTGAACGGTTTAATTTAAGTTAAGAGAATTGATTCCATTTCGACACGTGGACGCAACGCAAACGAGACGCGACGCTCGACGATCTCAACCTGAATGTACCTTAAAGCGTAATAGACTCTTAAGTTTTGGTCAATGTTTTGATTTATTAGGGTTTTCTAAGCCCTATAACATAGGATACAACATTTTAATGAACAGTGCTTTCCATAAAACCAATAAAATGAAAAATATAGGAAATAATATACAAGTACTGATTTCTTTCGAAAATCGACAACTATGAAACTATGAACCCTTCCTGGTCACAAACGGTACATTGTGAGACAGGAAATTGTAGAGAGAAACAAGCCCTATAACATAGGATACAACATTTTAATGAACAGTGCTTTCCATAAAATCAATAAAATGAAAAATATATGAAATAATATATAAGTACTGATTTCTTTCGAAAATCAACAACTATGAAACTATGAACCCTTCCTGGTCACAAACGGTACATTGTGAGACAGGAAATTGTAAAGAGAAACAAGCCCTATAACATTGGATACGACATTTTAATGAACAGTGCTTTCCATAAAATCAATAAAATGAAAAATATAGGAAATAATATACAAATACTGATTTCTATCGAAAATCGACAACTATGAAACTATGAACCCTTCCCGGACACAAATGGTACATTGTGAGACAGGAAATTGTAGAGAGAAACAAGCCCTATAACATAGGATACAACATTTTAGGATGAAAAAAAGTTATTTACAAAAAGGATAATTTAAATATGTTTTCCTAATTTTCTTCTGATGATTTTTTGGGGGGGGCATTGACTATTTGACCTTATGGTTAAGCCGCCACTGGTTAGAACTGTACCTATATCCAAAAATCACATTCAAATTCAAACAATATCGTTAAAAATGCACCAAATAGCTGCCGTACTTCGCCATAGTCTTCCCACGTCTCCGGTTTCATTATCCTCCTCAAACAAGGGCTATAATCCGGCCATTAACCCAATTAGATAATTAATAATTTCGGCTAATGCGCCGCGCGCACGGCTTGTGGGGAGGGGGCCAATGTTAGCGTTCCCCTCGACGCTTAACTCACTGTTGAACAAACGGGAATCTGCATAATAATGAAGGGAATGCGCGGAATCGGAAGAACTCGCCCGAACCGCCAACGGCACTATCAACTTTTTAACCAGTCTCTCCATGATCTTCGATAACGTGGGAAGGAGTGCAATTGGACGATAGTTGGAAGCTTGCTCTTTATAACCTCCTTTATGCAAAGGAATAATTATCGCCGACTTAAGGCAATTTGGAAAAGCACCATCTTCAAATGACATATTAATTAAGGCTGAAAGATGGTTTAATGTACATTCCGGCATACTAGAGAAGGGTTGATTGACGTATTCAGTTGTTTTTGGTCACTTCCTGTTTCTCCGAAAATAACCACAAGTTTTGATTTTTAAATGGCAACCTCGGTATATTTTTAATTTATTCGATAGAAAAAGGCACTCTGAATATGAATCAACTTTTGACATTTTTGCTTTAAAAAAGAATTGTATTTTAAATTACAATCTAGAGTGACATGGCTGCATTAAAAACACTAATTTTTAATCAAGGAGCCTTGGAAAAATAGATTTGATTATCTAATCTTTTTCATGTCTTGTCATAGCCGGTTAAAAGATGCCCAAATCTTTTTTTTTAATCATATCTCAAGTTTTTCAAATGGAACAAGGGTGGCTTATTAGCATATTTGGAAAAAGTATTTTTTTAGGAATCATTTGGTACCACGCACTGGGTATTTCGAGTCAAATTGTCGTTATGAACCGCATGTTGCAATTTCGAATAAACCATATGCGAAAATGTCAAAAGTTGATTTATGATATGTCATTCTATTCAGCGTGTCATTTTCTATCGAACAAAGTGAAAAAATACCGAGGGTGTCATTTAAAAATCAAAAGTTGTAGTTAGTTCCGGTGAAACAGGAAGTGACGGAAAACAATTGAATACGTCAATCAATCCTAATTTATATCATATACTAACGTACCAAATCTCATTTTTCTATCTGAAAAAATAAAAAAGTTATGGTAGTGAGCTACTTTTAAGACGCACCCGGTAGAGTATTTGATGTAAAAAAATTCATAAACTTTTACAGATAATTTAAGTATGTAATAAAAAATAGGGGTACTTATTTAAAATCAGATAGTTGCTGTCAACTTCCGGTATTTCCGGAAGTGCAGCCATATTGAAAATATTTTTAATCAATGTCTTAATAATGTGCAAAAAATCTCCGATCTAGATATGGCAGTTCTCTAGAAACTTCTAATGCACGCTAAGCCTAGAACACCCTGTGTATCCTATATACCGCATCAACGTATTCATTACTTAATGCAAAAAAACACGGAATTCAACAAATTTTAGCTTTCTTTTGCTAAAAATTGCTTAAATAATGATATAGGTATATTTAAGTAACATTTCGGTGACAAACAAATTATTTAAACATAAAATTAGGATCCTCTCTTAATGTTTCACTGTGAACTCTGAGCACATAAACCGTGAAAGTGATTCTGGCGTAGTAATCATTGCCCATGGCTGTAGAGTTAGAATTATAATTTCGCCTTCGCCATTTTGTCAAGTACAGGTATAATTTGATAAAACCACAAACTATAAGTGTGACCAACGGATCTGTAGCTACGGGGCATCGGCAGGGGAACGCAGTTGTAAACAAAACACGCCCAATTTCATTCATAAAATAGGCAGGGGCGTACGGTGTTATATAAAAATAATGTGTATCATAAATATAATACTCAGATTAATATTTTTTTTCAAAAAACTTCATGCTGTTTGAATCGTTACTGTTGAGTTAGCAGATAAACACTAAAAGCTTTTAATAAAGCTCCCTTAAATATTTTGAATCATCTTATTATTGTGTAGTAGTTTAGGCTTTCGCGGCCATCGTTTGAAGAATTTTGGTTTTTCGGGTTATTAGGCCGTCGTCGGTTAGAATTGCTTCCTAACGTTTCGCTAGCACGAGTGGCTAGCATCTTCAGAGGTGTGTTTGCTCCGATTGCTCACACTAGACTGATGCCTCCGCGTCGGCGTAGCGCGTATTTATGCACGTCGGCGGAGGGGCGTGGCTTGTTCGGGTGGTAGTTCTTCCGGAACTGGTCTGACTTCTCTGTGCTGCTACTTTGGTCCTAGATATAGCTGGATGCCCAAATTCTGTATTAAGGTAGAAAGTTTCTTCCTTCCTGTTGAAATTATTTGGATGTTTGTGAATTTCAAGCAGCTTCCCTATTTCCAGACGAGGATGATATCCAGATGTTGTGGCAATGACTTGGGTGTCTTCGGGTGTTGCAGCAACTTCCCTGATGAACGGATGATATCAGATGTTATTGTAACTTGGGTGTCTTCAATTGGATTTTGTGGTCACCATCTCTTAGAGCATGTTCTGCTACGGCTGACTTCTCTGTTGCCCTAATCTGCAGTTTCTCTTGTGTTCCGTAAGTCTCGTTCCTACTACTGAGCGTTGGTAGTTCCAATATATACGCTACCGCAGGAACAAGGTATACGGTAGATCCCTGCAGAGGATAATGGTTCTCTTTTGTCTTTTGCTGGTCTTAAGCAGTCCCTTATTTTTCGGGTAGGTTTGTATATGGTTTTGATGTTATGCTTCTTGAGAACTTTACCAATCCTATCGGTGACCTGGGAAACATATGGAAGGAAGGCCTTATTAATGATGTTTTCCTGTTCATTGGCGTCAGGTCTCCTCTGCCTAGGTGCCAGCGCCGCCTTTATTTCTCTGTCATTATAGCCATTGGCAAGAAAGGCTTTATTTAAATGACTTAGTTCCTCTTGGATGTGTTCATTAGCACAGATACGTCTTGCCCTATTTGCTAATGTTCCGATAATCCCCTGTTTTTGGCTTGGATGGTGATTTGATAGTTTGTGTAAGTACCGGTCTGTATGAGTGGGTTTTCGATACACGGTGTGATCCAAAAGGTCGCCATTTCTCTTGACAAGCACATCGAGGAAGGCCAGTTGGTTGTTTACTTCGGTTTCCATGGTAAATTTTATGCTCGGGCTCTGCGAATTAAGGTGATGAAGGAAGTCATCTAGGCTGTCACGTCCATGTTTCCAAACCACAAATGTATCGTCCACATAACGAAACCATACAGCGGGCTTCAGAACGGATGACTCTAGCGCTTTTTCTTCAAATCTCTCCATAAAGAAATTAGCAATTATTGGGCTGATTGGGCTACCCATTGCGACACCTTCTGTTTGTTCGTAGTAATTGCCGTTCCATAAGAAATAGCTACCAGTCAGACACACTCGGAAGAGCTCCGCGATGTCAGGTGGGAATGATTCCTTGATTAGATCCATTGACTCGCCTAGGGGTACTCTCGTGAATAGAGATACCACATCGAAGCTTACCATGATGTCAGATGGTTCCAGTTTTATATCTTTTAGCTTTTGGACGAAATGCGTTGAGTCCTTCACATAAGAGTTTGTGTTGCCGACTTTCGGTTGTAGGATCGTAGTCAAGTATTTAGCTAAGTTGTAAGTAGGCGATC